GTGATTTTTGGTTCTTTGAAGTACAGTCACATGTTGCTTATCTGGCTGTGAGTCATCCCGCACGTCGGTTATCCTAAAGGCACACTGACAGCTCATACACTGCATGTTGACAGTTCTACTTCAAGTGAATGTGGACAGTATGCAATGATGCCTTGCATGTAACGTTGCATACGAGTCAGTGCATATTATATGGATGAGTATGACGACTGTCTCTGGAAAGTACTAGTAACTGAGCAGCAAAAACAGGTAAAATCATGCTCTAGTCAGTCATTTTGATATGTGAACACAAGATGGCTATGTAGCTCCAGTTATCCAGAATATTCATTTATCCAACAGCGTCCAGTCCGGAAGGTGCCGGACACCTGACACACAACTACCTGTATTATGTGCTGTTGGTCCTGAGCTAAACTGTTCTCGCTGTGCACCCTGGTCGTGCATGTGTGTGTGTGTGTGTGTGTGTGTGTGTGTGTGTGTGTGTCCCATATGGTGCAGTGGTATGTGCAGCGATTTCCAATCGATAGGTTGCGGGTTCGATTCCCGACGATTATGGTCACACACGTCTTTCTTCTCTTTCTCAGACTCTTCCTGACTTTTCTTTCATTCTCCTGGGTGGTTACCAACAGCCAGTGCATGCCGGAGTATGTGGTGTGATGTGTGTGCGGGGAAAAAAAATGAAAAAGACCAAAAATAGGGATTCACTGGCCAGAAAAATCACTTCAAATAGCTGTATGGTGTAGACCAGGCTGAATAGTGACGGTCAATTCTTCAGCCTTGCAAACTGTTGAATGGTGCAATCCCAGCACAAGTTGCTATGGCTTCTGCCGTAGCATTGCTATCATCGCCTCCGGCGATGGGCGTCAAAGGTCAAAGGTGTGTGTGCGTGCGTGCGTGTGTGCATGTGTGTGTGTGTGTGTGTGTGTGTGCATATGTGTGTGCATATGTGTGTGCATATGTGTGTGACTACATGTGTGTGCTGTTGTTGTACATGTGTGTGCTTTGCAGAGGAATCCTCTATTCTTGATACAATCAAGACCAAGGCAGTGGGTGTGGTGGATACGTTACAGCAACAAGTAAGTTACTACAGTCCATTTCAAAACTATAGACGCGTACCTAGGCAAAAACCGTTATGCCAGCATCTATACCACATAAAATCTGTGATCACTTTGTGCATAATTTTTTCCAAATTGGGCGTCTGTTATCCAATCGTTTAGAAACTATATGAGAGTAATTGTGGAGCGATCCTGAGCAATATTCCGAAAACTATTCTCAAAAAGTTCCAGCCAAATTTGAAATATTTCAAAAACCCTACGCGTCTATAGTTTTGAAATGGACTGTAACACAGTCATGTGCTGGTAAAAAAAAAACCAAAGGACACATGGGTTACGAGTTATGAGTAACTGACCACTTCTGTAACAAGATAATAAGCAGTCAGAAAGTGAGATAACTAAGCACAAAACCGACAGACTACTGAGGCATTCAATGACCCAACGACTCGCACCCATGTGTCCTTTTTTTAATTTTACATTTTGCTTTTGGCTCAGTACCCGAGTTCAACATTATACTAGTATTTGACTGTGTGAAGTCTGAAGAAGATATTTGAACTGTCTCTGCTGGAATGACGACGACTGCATACCTTGGTGGTGGAGCATCGTTTGTCTCTAATGAAAATCCCCGGTTCAAGTCCTGGATTACAACATTGTCATGGTGCAGATAGCTAAAAAATATTGAAAATGACGTTGATCACTATATAAGTTGTCATTGATCCAGCTTGAAAGTGGAGCCTGAGAGGGATTGATAACTGTCATGTGAATCCAGCCAGTCTTGTTGTCTTCGGTCTTTGACCACTTTGCTGGTGGGCTGATCTACTCACCTCCCATCGCTTTAGGAGCTGCGTCTGCGCCTATGATCTTTGCAGTGTGGTGGTGTTCCTATGGATGCTGAACACTCAGTCTAACCGAGTCTCAAGCGAACCGTGAATTGTGTTTGTTTGTTTTGTGTTTGCTAACCACCAAGGCTGTCCTGCAGGACTCTGACCTGTATTCCGTGTTGTATTCGTGTTTTATCTTCATTGTTGCTGTTGCTGCTGCTCCTGCTGCTGTTGCTGCTGCTGTTGGTTATGTTGCTATTGCTGTTGTTGCTGCTGCTGTTGGTTCTGTTGTTGCTGCTGCTGTTGGTTCTGTTGCTGCTGCTGTTGGTTCTGTTGCTCCTGCTGTTGTTCTTGTGGTATACCTGGTGTAGTGGTACAAGGGTTCTAATCCGCCAGCGTCCGGTTCCCTATTATCCAGTGGTGCTGGGTCGTATGTATCTGCTCCTGCCTCTAGTTACACCAGCGGGCGCTACGACACCGGCACATCGCATGAAGCTGAATACTCCTCAGGTGTGTGTGTATGGGTGGGTGTGGGTGGGTGTATTGGTGGATGTATGTATACGGGGGGGGGGGGTGTACATGCCTGCATACTCGAGGCTAGCGGCTGCATGGCCAACGCACTGGGGTGTACATGCCTGCACTCGTATGCTTGTGTCATTTTCATCTTCCGGCACTGCTCCCTTGGTCAATGTTTTGCTGCACTGAACAGGTTTCCTAATGTATTTCCACCTTTTTATATACTTCTTTTTGATCGCACTGCTTACTTTGTACATGTACGTATGCATTTCATTGTGTGTGGTGTGTGTCTGGTACAGAGCGTGCTGTTGGTCGTCCTGGTGGTGGCTGGGATACATCAACACCACCACCCGTTGCACAGTGAGTAGTGTGTGTGTGTTCTTGCATGGTGCCCTGGCTCTCTCTCTCTCTCTCTCTCTCTCTCTCTCTCTCTCTCTCTCTCTCTCTCTCTCTCTCTCTCTCTCTCTCTCTCTCTCTCTCTCTCTCTCTCTCCGTCTCTCTCTCCGTCTCTCTCTCCGTCTCCGTCTCTCTCTATCTATCTATCTCGCTCCCTCTCTATCTGTCTGTCTATCTGCTAGTATCTCGATTCAGAATTTACTGACTTTGTGCTTGTTCAATTGCGTATAGTCACTTTTCACTTGACTGAAGAAAATCTCCGTATTTCCGGGGCTGAAAGCCACATCACTGTATAAGTCTGTTGCCTATCTTGGAGGCTAAATGTCATATTACATGTAGTGTTTGTTGGTTGGTATCACCGGAGGGTGCACCCAGTGTGCTAAGCCTGGGAGTGCTCAATACCGCAGAGGCAGAGCGTGTATTACAACTGTGGAAGAAGGCTAGTTTGTTGCAACTCTGAGCTTCATGCTCAGGACAATGCAATCATCAGGCCACATAAAGATGCTGTTGGCCATGCCAGTATTGCTATACTGTAAAGCCTGTCAAGGCGACCACTCGGATATGGCAACCACTACAACTAGGGCCAATCGTTGTTACCTTCAGTAAACTGAACCCGGATAGGGAGACCACCTGTACAGTACATGATGACCACGTTTGTAAGGTCCCTTGAGCGGTCACCTTAGACAGGTTGATGTTGGCTGATGATTGCATTGTAATGAGCCTGACAGTCATCAGAGTTGAAACGGACACTAGCTTGTTCCACTGCTGTACATACTGTACTTCTTGGTATCCGAACGAATGCTCGGAGTGTGAGGTTCTTGCTCAATTTTCTGAAATAGAAGCACCGCGTTGACCCTGCAAGATACGTCCCTGCTCCTGGTGTCGCTACATGTATGTTGTGCTAGTGCGTGTAGAACTGAGAACTGAGATGTGATTGCACATGTATTGCCCATTGTGTGTTGTGTGTTCCGCTGTAGGCCGGTGTCCAGCTCTCATTATCAGCCTGGTGGTGTAATGTAAGTGCACGCATACCTCACTGCAGTGTAGTACTACTCCAGGTGCGCTCGGTGAAATCCGACTCGAAGTGCAAAGCTGGCGCCCTGGACTAGTTCCGATTACATCATTGCACTTGTACATGTGTACGTCCAGCCGCATTCGTGCCACTTCCAGGGCATCAAGCCAAACAGGGCATGTTAGTTGCGGGTGCCAAATATGCACTCCGGGTCGGATTTCGTCGAGCGCAACTTAACTGTACTGGTACCTAGAGTTAATAAGCTCCCAAGAGTGTGCAGGTCTCCGACGGTGAAAAATCACATTACGTGTTCCTAGTACGATTTCTACTGTCGTGGACATTGAAATCCAGTCGAATGACCGGGGCCGGCGCCCTCAGCGCGTACAGAGCGTTGCATGCAGTGCACATGTTGATCCGATGCGGCCAGCGCTTCGATGCGTAAATGAATGTGTGTAACGTTAGATATCTACTGCATGCATACTCACGGCTAGCGGCTGCATGGCCAACGCGCTGGGGCCGCTTGACCTCCGGCCGGATTTCCATGTCCACGGCACTACTACGTACAGTGATGGCTAGCGTGCGCGCAGTCCGATTATCTGCCAGATCATGACTGGCGATTCGCATAAGCTGAGTGGGTTTCTGTCGGGAGTGCTATTCTTTCAACTCCAATGATCGCTAGAAACGGGCTGGAAGTGTACAACGGGAACACTACACTGTGTGATGTGAGTTTTCACCATTGGCGGACCCCATAGAAAGAGTATCTAGAGTTGCACACTCTTGGGAGCTTATGTACTCTTGCTAATACTACTGTAAGTCTACAAATGTTCGGCCCATTCAAATTTCGGCCTTCCAGTGCGAAAACACACTTCGGCCCCATTAACTGTTCACCCTGTATTGCTGCTGCCTGTATACACAGTCACACTGAACATTTGCAAAACAAAATTTCGGCCCAAAAATCCCCCGGCCGAAAATAGCCGAAAATAAATATGCGCCGAATATTAATACCTTTTGTTGACGTACAGTATAGCAGGGTTTGATCCAGTGTAATGTAAGTCCACACATTCCTCACTTCAGTGTAGGAGATCCAGTGTAATGTAAGTCCACACATTCCTCACTTCAGTGTAGTAGATCCAGGGTATCATCGTCCAGGGTATCATCGTCCAGGGTATCATCGTCCAGGGTATCATCGTCCAGGGTATCATCGTCCAGGGTATCATCGTCCAGGGTATCATCGTCCAGGGTATCATCGTCCAGGGTATCATCGTCCAGGGTATCATCGTCCAGGGTATCATCGTCCAGGGTATCATCGTCCAGGGTATCATCGTCCAGGGTATCATCGTCCAGGATATCATCGTCCAGGGTATCATCGTCCAGGCTAAAAATGGAGCTGGCAAACGAAACAATATCCCATGGCCAAAATTGCGCTGCGTATCACGAGCGCCGATCTGGACAGTGACTCATAACTCGGACCCACGTGTCTTTGATATTTTGTTTACGAAAACCATACCCTTGCAATTGTTTCACTCTGGTTCAACCTTGATATGAGATTGAACGATCATGTTTGCTACACCCCCCCTTCAAGATGCTGTCTTCCTGAAGGATTTCCTTCCTCAACTAAAGATGTGTGTTAGTAAAGTAGAGGAGTATTTGGCGGACTATATTTTGGCGGAGGTCAATCATCTGCCACTTCCTCCAACAGTACTTCAAGAGGTGAAATGCTCCTTCGATTACTTTCCTCGTGTCTGCATGGGCATAGTTGTACTCACATTGCTGCCAGGTTAATGCATGCCCGGCATACGGCTTGCTGAGTGAATGGAACCATCAACCATGTCTCCAAAGGATACATGCAGAATCACCAATGATGTACGTTTCGGAGGCAAAGAGCAAAGCTAGGAGTCCAGCTCGAAATCAAGACCAGCCAAGTCACAAGTCGACTGGACTCAAGCCAAGGATAGCCATTCTGACCAAGAACTAGAAGAAGAACTAACCCGCTCAAGAAGCCGAAGAAGATTGTCCCTTTATCCAGGGCCACTCTGAAGAGTATGCCAGTGTGTACTTTTATGTGTATCTCTTGGTCTGGCAGCTCAAAGCCTATATGTTAGGACCGGCACAGTCACAATTAGACGATCGGGTCAAGGATTAGTTGACAACGACAAGGAATCTCAGAGGTTCGTATAGAATACTGTCAGGCAAGCAAGACAAAGACCAAGCAAGGCGAGCAAGACACGGCTAGACAGGGCTAGAAGGGTCGGTAGAGTCGGTAGAGCATGAGACCCTTAATCTCAGGGTCGTGGGTTCGAGCCCCACGTTGGGCGCCAATGTTGAGTTCGAAACAGGACGACTGACGACATATCCAGACATTACAACGGGAACAGGTTAGTGGGAACGACATTTATTATACAAGTAGACGACGAGACAAGAGACCAAGACGAACGAAACGACTACATTGAAGAGTGAGAAAAGAGAGAAAGAGATCAAGTCTAAACGGCAAGATAAAGGACCTGGGTAGCTATGGCAAATATGGGCGCGCAAGTAGCTACCCAGGCCAACGGAGCAAAAGGAGACAAAAGGTGCGTACGCAAGTGCATGCAGGCCAGCTAGAAAAGGTACGGGAGGAGGTACCTAACATATATATAGGCTTTGGTTTTTGTTGGTATTTTAGGAGTTTTTTTTTAATGATAAAAATGAGACAGCTCCACTCGCAGGCCTGGGGTACCTGTGAACTCAGGCAAGTCGTTGGATGGCATCGTTTCACTCCATCCAATGTCAATTGCATGTTCCCGTCTACTATCCATTCGGCTTGCTCCAGTAGCAGCGTTGTTAGTTGCTGGAGGAGGGGAACAGATTCTTGTGGACTTGCCGGCAGTTCATCATCGCTCTCTGCTTCAACACCAGGCGCAAACTCTACATCACTACTGCTCCCAGTGGCTTCAGCAGCCCCAACCTCCATCGTCAAACCAAAGCCTGTATAAATAGGCTCGAACAATTTAGACAATATCCGCCAACTGAATACCTCAACCTGACAAAACTACAACTTCCTTCTTCAAAATAGTTTTTGCCAACCGCCTGCATATCGCCTGGGATCGCTTGGACGCCATTTTGGCCATGTGTTGTCTAACCAATGTTGTCTATATATGGGTATCTTGCTGGAACTACTGTACGCTACTCTACTACTACTTTATAACATTCTTTATACTCTCTCAGACTGCACGCAATTATGGGTTGTTATATTAACTGATTTTGGGAAGCACAAAGAGGACTAAAGAACTGGAGAGGACTGGGATAATTACAAGGAGAAGACTCGGAGAACAACAAGAAGAACAACTGTGAGAACTACAAGAAGAACGATCAGCCTGCGCAAGCGCAGCCTTCAGGGTATAACTAAAGCTATGGAGGGAAAAAAGGGGTGCATACAGTAAGTGGCAATAGGGTGAGCGGGAAAAGGGGTGCATGCAGTTAGTGAGACAGGGTGAGAGGGAAAAGGGGTCAGCAGTGCATGCAGTAAGGGAGGCAAAAGGTCAGCGGGGAGTGCATGCATGGGTGTGTGTACAGGGATGTGGAGATGTGTATGTATATGTGTACGGAAGTGTGTGCATGCGGGAATGTGTACGGAGCTAAATGGCTCATACAACACATGTGCAGTTGTTTCCGTGGTAACAGGGAACAAGCAAACCGCGCGCATCAGCTCCAAAGCCTATATGTAGGCTTTGTCAGACCAAGAGATACGGTGACTATTTTATTGGAGCCTAAACACTAGTATGTGCGCACATGCATAGCCCGGATATGTACAATTAGAAAGGGGGTGTAGATCATTTGTGCCGTGTGTTATGTGCAGGGGTAGAAGGGAAATGGGGCTACATCTTTAGTACTGTAAAACCGAAAAGTCTAACGTTTTAACTTAACGACCAATTTTTTTCTTTGTTTGAAGAAACGTCGTCACGAACCCGGTTTGAGATGTCTGTATAAAGATGTGCATACAGATGGGTGGCCAGTTGGCCATCGTTAAACTTCCTGCACGTTATCATGCCAAAATTACAAAAACGTTTTAAAGATTTTTGGTCGTTAAACTTTCCGGTTTTACAGTAACTCAGAAGTAGCCACAACTTTACAGTATGTAATCATTGCATGCAGTCGGGGCAGAGGGGAAATGGCACTGTATGTAATCATGCAGGGGGAATGCCCCGGGTATGGTATACAGTATTCTATGGGTGTGGCATGCAGTTCTACGACAGGCGATTCTCAACATTCCCATTCCGGAATGGTTGTCATGTACATTCTGAATTTGCCAAACGAAACGCAACGAAACCGCAATTCCCCAAATATAAGTCGCGCCTGTTTGCAACAAATGCCAAGGTCGAACGAGGGAGTGCGATTCACAATCACGTGTGACGTATTACTGAAGTGAACGTACTGCAACCGTATAACGAAGACCTCAAAATGGGGGTGCGGCTTGTAATTGGATGCGACTTACGATCGGGGAAATACGGTTATCGAGGGGAATGAATGCAGCAAATAGGATATTGGTTATCGAGGGGAATGAATGCAGCAAATAGGATATTGGTTATCGAGGGGAATGAATGCAGCAAATAGGATATTGGTCCTTGGCAGGTCTGATGTACTCACCTTTCACCACTCTAGGACCTCGCTAGGTCCTAACTATGCACCTTGATCCTTGGAGGTGATACCTTTTAATCTTCATTACTTACTACGGGTGCAGAAAATTGAGTGAAAAATGAGTTGAAGAGAACTACCATTGGCTAGAGAAGCGGAGGGGGGGGGGGGGGGGCATATCTGTGGATGCGGCTCTGGTTAGAATCCTGGTTTGTTCATAGTACAGTAGTTGTTGCTCTCAGTGAAATCCAACCTAATATGCATACTTGGTACCATTGATCCCCTAGAAGTGGTACGAATGTGGCTGCACGTACACATGTACAAATTCAGCGGAGCTTTCAGGGCGCCAGTTTGCACTTTGGGTTGGATTTCACCGAGCGCAACTGTAGTTACTCTTGATCATGCAACTGTGGTAAAAGGAGCTGGGGGGGGGGGGGGGGGTTGTTCTAGTACATCCGGTCACGGAATCACTATGTGTGTCTTGTGCTGGATTGACAGGTGTGCACTGTTCACTCACAATACTTACTACTGACAACCACCACAGTACAGCCATTCCAATGTTGCTTTTGCTGCCACTGGCTGTTGTCGCTGCCGCCGCTGCTGCTGCTGGCGTACGTGGTGTTGCTGTTTCTGTTTCTGCTGCTTTCCTGTACTACTCTGTGTCAGAGCTGATCCTGTAAGCACACCGTCAAGAGGAGCATCCACTCCATCAGCAGCGTCCTCTTCTCAAACTACTGACAACGGCGGTGCAGCCACCACAAGCACTGCCGGTGCCAGCAGCAGCAGCAGCAATACACAGGCGGCCGAAGAGCGGCTCGTCGGGGAATTCACCACGGTGACCGGTGTGCGCGCCGCACCCAGTCGCGATCAAGTGCAGCAGTTTGTACAGAGGTGTAAGCGGCGAGATATGGCCGTCGTTGTGGAGCTGCTGCTAGCTACGCTCAATCCAGCCACGTCCAGTTCTCAAGTCCAAATTGTAAGTACAGTCAACTTCGCTAGTAACGACTGCGGATATCATGACAATTCGCGAATAACGACGGAATTTCCATGCCCAGAGCAAAGTCCCATCCAACTGTAACACATATCATGTGACTTCGGGTCTAAGGACACTTCACGAATAAGGACACTTTTCTGATACCCCGCTGAGTGTCGTTATACGCAAAGTTGACTGTACACTGGAGACTGCTCAGTCTTGCCACCATGCCAACGCCGGGCACTCGTACATAATGTAGGCGAAAGGAGTTGTCTGCCGTATAAAACGTATATAAATGCACTCGTGTTTACTATTTTAGTTTAGAGTTGTTCTGATGTGATGCATTGGCTGATGGGATGCATTGGATGGTGTAATGCATTGGCTGATTCATTGGCTGGTGCAATGCATTGTTCTGATGTGATGCTTTGACTGCTACCGAGAGTAGACTCAACTGACTCAATAATTGGCCAGGTGCCTTGAGACTCTGCAGAACAACCATGATATCAAGTTGCAAACTCTACTTCGTGCATTGAGCACTCTTGCCAGTCAAGGGCACATTGTGTATTCAACATCAGCAAGTGTAGATTGCTCGATGTCGTGGGTCTGAAGCAGAGCTTCTCCCCCCAGAAAAGGAGAGCGGAGGTGGTGTTATAAATCTGAGTTTGCGTTTCTTTCAATCATCAGGCCGCTGTGTACTGCACTACATGACTGTATACATGTATGTCTGGATGCATTTGTGTTGTGTTACAGCGTTCCATGTGTCTACTGGAGGAGCTTTATCGTTGTGATGTTGGTGGTGCGTCGGAGATAGTTTCCGGCACGTCTGGTCCAGTTCTGCAGCAACTGTTACAGGCTAGTCAGGGCCCCGTTCACAGCAAGGCATCCAAGGTCAGTGAATGTCACTGTGCCTATCTCTCTATCTCGTCTGCCGGCCTGTCTGTCTGTCTCTCTGTGTTTATCTGTCTGTGTCTATCTGTCTGTCTTCCATATCATTCTGAAGAACGCGAGAATTTGCCGGCGCATTATCGTGCGGCATTCAACAGTAGAGAGTTATGATGCTGGTGGATAATGAGCTTGAGAGCTTGCTGTTTAGAGAGCTCTGTGGATGTCAGGTCTATGATTGTACCTGTAATGCAATATTCTCTTGCTGAAAGACCTGGTGGTATATGTAGCAATACCCCACAGCATACTCTCCTGCCAGCACTATTCCTGTGGTTGCTTATGCTGTCAAAATCAGCAGCGTACGCCCACACTATTTTAAAATTATATACAAAGTTTCCCCTTTTGGAGGGGGGATGCCAATTTATAAATTATGTGAAATGTAGGCATCCTGATGGCAGTTCACAACTGGCATCAGGGTTTGAGTGACAAGGATTAGTGGTAATATGCCTTATAATTGTGTGTTGAAGTCTTGCTGTACTAGTCTTGTGTTATTGCTTGGTGTGTGCCATTCTTCTACTGTGTACAGTTGCTGCGGCAGGTGAATCCGATGGCGGCAACAGCACCATCTAGCACCCCTGCAAGCCAGCCCGGTATGTTCATATGTGGAATATATAATGTTGTTTTTAGATTATTGCATACACACGCACGCACACACACATACACACACGCGCACACACACACACACACACGCGCGCACACACACACACACATCACCGTCAATATCGAGATGAGCGTCATCCAGATACTGGCATTCATATATTCCGTCAGCTGGCTACGAGAAGGCTCAACAAGGATGCAGGAATTGGACTTCTCAGGTATACCTCTATTGGGCACTTTCCCTTCAGGGATCGATGGGGTCCTGCAGCTACAGACGAAAACTAGGCGGATAAAATTACCTCAACTCAAGTTTTATGCTCCAAATCAATCATCAGAAGACGCGGAGCTATTCTACAGATTACATAGTCTTATTCACTACAGATGCCATTGAGGCACAGAACCAGTTAGTTCAAAGTAGTAAGTACTTCGAAGTATGGCGATAGTACCTGCAATTGTATGTGAAGTAAAAATACTCCAGACAAGAGGGCCAATCGGACTCCTTCTGGAGGTCCCGGCGGAGAAAATTGGCAAGCGTCTGATTAAGCCGCTCCACGCGACGTTGTGACTGAGGATGGTATGGGCGTCCATTAATCTTCAGGGCAAGCATTTAACTGAACACAATCGACCGGCCAGCAAGCATCTACTTTGAACAAAGACATTTTGAGAGAGCAGAGAATAAATTGCTGATCAGTATGCCATGCCTGCCAGCGGTTGTTGTTAATGTTGAGAACTTGAGACTGGTCCCTTTGGGTGGGAGATTATCAGATTGAGATGATGACAGTGGTAGAGCGTGAGACTCTTAATCTCAGGGTCGTGGATTCGAGCAAGAGTCGGGCGTCAATGTTGAGAACTCGCGGCACGCACGCAGGTACAACAGAAGTCAAGTTCTTGTTTGCACGAGGGGCTCAGGGTCGTGGATTCGAGCATGAGTCGGGCGTCAATGTTAAGAACTCGCGGCACGCACGCAGGTACAACAGAAGTCAAGTTCTTGTTTGCACGAGGGACTCAGGGTCGTGGATTCGAGCAATAGTCGGGCGTCAATGTTGAGAACTCGCGGTGCACACGCAGGTACAACAGAAGTCAAGTTCTTGTTCGTACGAGGGACTCAGGGTCGTGGATTCGAGCAAGAGTCAGGCGTCAATGTTGAGAACTCGCGGCACACACGCAGGTCCAACAGAAGTCAAGTTTTTGTTCGCACGAGGGACTCAGGGTCGTGGATTCGAGCAAGAGTCGGGCGTCAATGTTGAGAACTCGCGGTACACACGCAGGTACAACAGAAGTCAAGTTCTTGTTTGCACGAGGGGCTCGGGGTCGTGGATTCGAGCAAGAGTCGGGGCGCCAATGTTGAGAACTCGCGGCACGCACGCAGGTACAACAGAAGTCAAGTTCTTGTTCGCACGTTGGACTCAAGATGATGAGATTGAGAGAGAAAGAAATGATGAGACCCGAGGTTATGAAGGGCCTGGGTAGCTATGGCAATGAATGTACGAAAGCGTGAATGCAGCTACCCACGCAAAAAAACGAATTATACTTTTAACCCTTTGAGACCCCACTGAAAGTACGACAATTTACGCACCTTCAAATGACATGCACTTTCGCTCGTATCTCTATGAAACATTCACCGATTTTTACAAACTAACCACCGTTGGAAAGGTATTTTCAAGACGAAGAGAATAGTGCCACACTCAAGCCAACTACCTGCACAGCCTCTGCTCTGCGTGGCCTATAATGCCGGCCAAAACAGCAGCCGTGCGCGAACAGCTTCAGCAAAGTTCAAACAGCCGCCATTCCATTCTCCTTCATCGCATCGACTTCAAATAAACTACAGCGGAAAGCTCGTTTCAAGCGCAAAATCTTGGTGTGCAGCATGCTTGAGTATGACGTCCCATTCCGGGGAAATCTCATGCCAAGTGCAGCGTGAAAATTTGAATTTTTCGATCTGAGTGCATTTTTCAGTTTGTCTCCGACTTCGAGTCTCACCACGGCGGCATCGTAACTCCTAGAGACTTCGGATAACTTCGACATGATAGCCAAGGGTCTTTTCGAAACGTAGACACTTTGTTTATGAAAATCGGTGAAGGAACACCAGAGATATAATTATTTTAGTGTCACTGTATACCAAACGATCGAATTCGATCGTTGGGGTCTCAAAGGGTTAAAATGCGGAAAAGGGAGAGTGTGGGAGCAAGACGTCGTAGCGTATCCGAGAAGCGGGAATGGGAAAGGGTGCGTGCAGTGATGTGTTTATGAGTGCGTGTGTACTTGTACGTGCATATATGGGGGAGAGGTCATTGGTGTACGAGTGTATGCATAGATGAAATGGTGAACCTAACAATTCTTAGCACTTCCCCTTGCTGCCAACTGACCGAGTTTGTGCACACTAGCCTGGACTCAACAAAGACGCTGGAATCGGGCCTTCTCAGGTATACCTCTCTTGTCTGGCACTTTCCATTCAGGGATCGATGGGTCCTGCAATTGTAGGTGAGGTAACAAACTACTCCAGACGAGAGGGCCAATCGGGCTCCTTCTGGAGGTCCCGGCGGGGAAAATTGGCAAGGGCCTGAGTTAGACGATCTGCACGGCCTTGCGATCGTGGATGATATGAACGTCGGTTGATTTTCAGGGCACGCATTTTCATCCATTACAGACGCTAGACTAACGTTACTGCCCTCTCTCTCTTTCCCGCTCTCCGTCTTCAAGATACGACATGTGTGCTGTAGCCTACAGCACTGACAGGTGAAGAGACATGTAGTCATGGGGACGCTTTCTGTCGCCTCACAATCATAGTCGAAATATCAAGTGATATACTTGAAAATACCGCCATTACGACAACAAGCTCTCAGCTGCACCAAATAGATAAATAAATAACTTTGCCAATATTTCGCCCATTGGGCATCATGAGGGCAGGGCGAAATATTGGCAAAGTTATTTATTTATCTATTTATCGGAATGGCGGTATTTTCAAGTGCAAGAAATACGCTGCAAGGGAGTTTGGGAATTCTGAAGAAACTAATCAAGTGATAGATAAAAGAAATTTGTAACATGGAAATTGTGGTCCCAAGTTCTGCGATCGAGTCCACCAACTAAACCAGATTTTGAACAGTCACACGTGCACAATCTAGCAGACAATTGTGCCCACAATTTCCATGTTACAATTTTTTTCCTTGGCTCACCATCTGAGATCAAAGAAAATTATCATTTTTGGTATTTCACTCTTTAGATTGGGAGAACTGACATTGTAATGGGGTTCTACTATACGTGAAACGTAGAGAAATCACGTAGAGAGCAGGTACCTGGGTTAGAGTCTACGGCTTTGTGTGTTTTGGGTCCAGATTTCTACGCGTAGATGAGGTTCTCTACGTTCTGGCACACGCAAAGAACATGTGTACGGATCTGCTGGGTATCATTCGAATGCAGGCAGAAACCTGCCAAAGTTGGAAGGGGAAATTTCCGGTACACATTCCACATGATATCTCTACATGAACGTAGAGCAGAACAGGTTTCCTTTACGTTACGGGAACGCGAAGAGAGTTCCCGGGAGTCTTCACGTCGCGTTCCCGTAACATAGAGCAGAACATCTCTATTGATAACAACTTTTAACATTTGGATTTAAAGCTATAGGAAGATACTGTTCACTTGAAGCAAGAGCACATAACCCCCAGAGTGTGCAACGCCTGATCCAGCTCTGCATAGGGTCTTGGTCGAACGTAATCGGATCTTCTGATGTCATGCGTACACTCCACACCAGCGCAAGGCCGGTCTCGAGGCAGGGCACCGTTGTTTTTGATCCAGGAGTACCCGCGACTCCCCAGGTTCCCCTCAGATGTGTACGGTATTTGGACGCAAAGATCCGATTACGCTCGACCAAGACCCTATGCAGAGCTGGATCAGGCGTTACACACTCTGGGGGGTTATGTACTCTTGCTTGAAGGTATGACTGGGAGAACGATTGATACGCTATACTCATGGTGGAGATAGAGAGCGAAACCTTACGGAATGTTCGATTGGTAGGATCCGGATCTAGATTAACCGGATCCACTGGATTTGCACCCTTTCGATTGGTTGAATCTGGATTCAAATCCGACAGATTTGGATCCGGCCAACTCACCTGGGGGAGCAGGGTTGACCGGATCCAACGGATTCTTTTTTTGCCGATCAACCTTTTTTTGGGTGCGAAAACTCCACATTCGTTCGATTGGACCTGGGCGGATCCGAATGATCCAGGCAATTGACCGGGGTCTGGATTCCACCTATCGAACATACCCTGAATCTCTGAATGTTGCGGACTAACGTGGTCCCGCAACTGTTAGTGAGCTCTGCAGTACACAATGATTTGATCGGTTGCTCTGTTGTTTTTGTGTTTGACTTCTGTTCTTTCTTGTTCTGGACTTCTGGTGGTGATGGTGGTGGTGGTGGTGGTGGCGGTGGCGGTGGCATGGTTGATTGCACTGCAGCATCTGTGCCCGCACCAGCTTCCACTGTCACAGCAGAGACATCAGCATTTGCCGACATTCTCAACCTCTCCACACCGGCCTCTGATGTTACCAGTACTCAGGTATGCAACCGGCCAATGATAATGTGTACTAGTATAATTATTTGCAGTGGAACCTGGTTAATAGGAACACTGATATGACAACCCTTCACTCGGGAAAAACTAATTCCAGATGACTTCTTAGCATGCTTTCCTGTGGTTGGAGATACCGTGTGCAAAATCCGGTACCGGCACTTCGTTGCATTGATGGACCTCGCACTGTCCTTCCCAACCTTCATGCAGCTGTATACCCCCACATACACATACTGTTGAAACCAGCCGGGGAGCGACACAGTGTACAAACGTGTGTATGAGGGCTGGGGGTCAACAGTACTCAGTAGTTTACCTTACAGGTTTTCTGTGAGACTGTGACCTAAAAACCCTTTCATAAGCTGTCTACTCTACAGCTCTATACAGGCATGATGGGGTGATAATGACCAATGATGGAGGGGTTTGTGTAGCAGGGGGACTAGCTCACATGGTAGAGCGCTCGCTTAGCATGCGAGAGGTACCGGGATCGATACCCGGGTTCTCCAGGCAATCTTTTTTTTTGTAGCCTAGAGTGTGCAACTCGACGGATCCCTCAGCCAGCGGCGGAGTTTTTTTTATGACATCACTCTTCCGCGCCCATCTCACTCACTGGTGCCATCATGCGGAGCCAGAAGAGATCAAAGTACAAAGAACTTGTGCATCACAGCTACGGTAGTCGAAGCAGAACAACGGACGGCAGATCCACGCGTACTGAACCTGATGAGCTGACACCGTATCTACGAGACAGCTCGGAAAAGCATACACACTTGATCCTACTTCTGCCGAAAATGACGCTATCAAAATTATCTGCTGTGGGTGACCCCATCACAGCTCAGGATTGGTGTCGCATACTCTTGTTTATGTACTATTCAATTGCCTCTCCTAGATAGACACTTTGTGTTGAATATATTTTTGTGAGAGTGCACAGCAGCTCGGTGTTAAATGTTTAGAAAAAGACTTCGATAGCAGGTGGCTATCATAGCATTTGGTAGAGAGTTTGGTAGATATCTGTAGTGCAATGTGTGTACTGTAAGTCAACAAATATTTGGCGCATATTTATGTTCGGCTAATTTCGGCCTGGGCATTTTTGGCTGAAAATTTGTTGCGGCCGAAATTATGTTTTGCAAGGTTCAGGTTTTTTTTGTTTTTTTGTGTGTGACAATATGTATACAGGCAGCAGTAGCAGGAGCCGAAAATTCAACGCAGCCGAAATGTGTTTAAGCCCGGGGAGACCGAAATTTATACATGCCGAAAATTTGTAAACTTACAGTATGCTGTAGTGACGTAGTGAATGGTGTGTTATTCAAACGAATACACTCTCCTAAATTACCCTGGCCAACGAACGTTTTTTTCTTTTATCCTTCTGCCGTATGTGGGAGAAATGTTGAACGAATTGCGCATCCGTGTGTGTGTATGTGTGTGCTTGTGTGTGCGTGTGTGTGTGTGTTTGCTTCCTCTTGTTAGGTGCCTCAGACTGGCAGTGCTGGAGCAAGCAGTGCACAGCAGAACTCTGGTGCCATGTTTGCCGGTCAGTGGATGGGTTTTTTCTTGCTCTGTGTCTCTCTTCGCCCGTCTCTCTCTCTCTCTCTCTCTCTCTCTCTCTCTCTCTCTCTCTCTCTCTCTCTCTCTCTCTCTCCCTCTCCCTCTCCATTCTCTGATGGCAAGTAGTGAGTATTAGCCTAATGTCAAAGTTACTTAACCAGTCCTTGGCTCTGGCCGTAGTTTGTCACACCTGGTAGTAGCGCATCCACCCTGCCTGCAGCTTGCCAGTTTCCAGCTGCTGCTCAATCTGCTTTTGATTCCCGTGATGCCATTACCAGCATGACTAGGGCTGCATACATAGTTCTGTCTCTGGCTGCACTTGCTGGTGAGTGTTTGCCAGTAGGTGCATGGCTGGTCTGTTCACTCTGCTCTGCTAGTGCACCACTGCCTTTGTACATCACAACTACGGTAGTGGAAGCAGGGCAACGGATGTAAATCCATGCGTTCTCAACCTGATGAACTGCAAGCAAACCGAGCGCTGTG